GGTAGCTTCTCCACACAAGCTTTCGCAGAGTGAGTGATAAGGAAAAATATTGTCTATAACAGCAGATCTACAAGGCACTGGCCTAGCTTCTGCTACGTTCTGAGTTTGGAGCCCCTACTTGGCATAGAAGCTGATGAGTTTGCTGTTGTCATCCCTTTCTCTGAGCTATGAGCTTCTGTTGAGTTTAGAGCCACACTCCAAAGTCTTTTGCCAAACTCAAGCGCTATAAAATCCTAATCAGTAGAGGTTACTGTGTATCAGTCAAAAACAGCAAACGAGGCTTTGTAAATAAAAAATCAGAAAGTCAGAAATAGAAAGTCAGAAAATCAGAAACTCAGAAATAAACCTGAGCTAGTGCTTGGGATCCTGATCTGGATCTGAATTTGCTCAGATTTTTGAGATCATGCCAAGCCCCTGAAACCAGCAGCAATGTCAATGAAACCTTTAGCTTCACCTTTAGCTATGTTCTGGGGTTCAGTTTAGGTTTTTGTTTGCTTTTTTTCTGTTTTACCAAAATGGGAAAAATAGGGTAAAGGCCAAAAGGTTATTGAGCCTAATGAGAATTCAGCTCTTTATATTGTGAAGCAGTAGCAAACAGTAATACTGAAGAGTCAATAACTAGGATAAGTTACCACCTTCTATCAGAGATTCCGTGGTTTCCCTTAGACTAAAAATTACCTAGCCATTACATAAATGTACTGTGCATCTTATGCATCTTAATAGTGGTAAATGTATTAAAGCAAAATTGTGTGATAGATAATCACCTAATTTGAGAAATATGGCTCAGACATCTGATTCCTTTATTGTACAATGTCTTCTCTTTGTAAAACAGAGTAAGTGGCTAGAGGTCCTTAAGCTTATAGAATCTTTTATTCCTTGATCAATGTTTTTTTAATAATTTTCTTTGTCACGCACACTTGGGAGATGCTTCTCACAAGAGGTAAGTCACAATTCTTATAGGACTTCTTGGGAATGGAAAAGTGTGGTGAAAAGTGAAAAAGCAGTTATTTGTGTTAGTCGCTCACTGGAATACTGTAATATTGACTGCATGATTTGTCTCTTACATGCTTGCATTGCTGTAATGATCTGAATTTAGTGCTGCATTTGTTAATATTAGATACAAATTTATCCTGACAGTTTTATAGATCAAGCCAGAGCAAAATTTAGTCATGTAAAATATAATCATGCTCTTGAAATATATGCTGCAGTTCCAATATGTTTCAGACTGCGTATTGCAGAAGCTTAGTCCTGTCTTACCTACTCAACAGTGGTCTTCACTTGATGTAGTTCCTCTTTTCAACTTGATTATAATGCAAGAGGTGTTAATTTATACTGAATGCTCACAGCACACTTATCAAGTGGCAGTTATTTACTACTTGAGAATACTTCATGTCTTCATAAGCTGTTCATTTTTTTTCCTTATTGCTGTAAATTAACATTGTCTTTAACGTGTAGCCAATTTTTAGCTTTTTATTGTCAGCCACTTTGAAAATTTTGAGGGTGAATAGGTTTAGCTTGTCCTTTAAATAAAATACTGTGTATCAGAATAAAAGAGCAACTCTTTTCAGGTCCTAAATCATCTGTTTGCAGCCTGAAAAATGATTATCAGGTCTAGTTAACTTATTGACCAGTTACAGGACAGATGTCTGTTATAGACAACTTTATTTGCTGTAAAACTTGCATTTCCTTTGATTCTTTCTGCCTTCTAAGCAAACCCACAGATGAGAAGAGTGGGGGTGGAAATAAGCGTTTTGTTTTAATGTGACATAGGAACATAAATCAGAATATATCATGCCCACAGTAATAATTTCAGAGCAGTTACTGTGCAGTTCAGCTTATGTAACAAAATACCAAGAAATAGAAGGAAGAAATCTCAAAATGGAAGCAATGGAAGTGCAAAATGAAGTCTTAAAATAACAGTATCTAGCTTGCTGCACCCAATTCTTACAGCACTAAACCAACATCTATCTTTTCTACTTTTGAACCATCATATGAGCTTCATGGTGTACTAAACTAGTATTCATTAGTCTTCCTTTCTCCGTATTTGACTCAACTCCTCGCTATACTGAACAGTTCACTTTCTACAGAATAAGAACATTTGGATAACTGTGACTAAAAATTGTGAAGAACAAAAGAGGCTTGATCTACATGAACAATAGATTTCAGGAAAAGAAAAGTAATTCTCCATTGAAAATTACTTCTCCTTTTCTACAAAAATGGGGATGTTTAGTGGTTTCTTAGCCATTATGCTGCCTAGGAGTGTTGCTGAGAGAGATAATTACATACATGTAAAATTTTAGGCACAACCCTCCATGTCTCTTAAAATCTCTCGTGAATTCATTGTTTCACTGTTTGCTCCACCTCCTGAGATGCTGTTTAGCTTTGCCACTTGTGTAGCATCTTTGTGTATGGAAACAAAAAGGCATACCCACAATTCTTTTCTAAAAAGTGAAGAATTTTCCTGTCTGCAGCTTAAGGAGTGCAAGACGCTAAGATTATTCAAACAACTTGTGACAGTTAATAGAAAGCAAGGAAAAAAAAAAATGATGCAAACTCCTTTAGGCATATGCAGCACATACCAGTATTTTTCAGGCTAAAGTGCATTCATTTGCAAGAAAGGAAGCTTGCGCAAAAAATTATAAGCTGGTTAGCAAAGGAAGGTAGGGGAAAGCATTTCCGAATAGAAAACTGTCAGTGTTTTCACATAGACCCTTTTTACTGTCTGCATTTAGCATGCTTGGCCATGCTGTTATATGAATATAAAGTATGTAAATTATAAGATTTCAGTCATTTTTTTCTTATTTTCAAATCCGCAACTGTACTATACACAATTCTTTTTTAAGTGCTCCTTAGATTTTCCAAATTACCTATCCACTTTTCTCAGACTTCCTTCTAAATTGCTTTTCTAATTTAGAATTTTATATGGGCTAGTGTGTAATGGGTAACATCATTGATTTTTTTTTTTTTTTCCTCTTTTTGTGAAGTAAGTCTACTAATTTTTCTCTTTGTGTACTGTCCCATTACCAAGTCCTAAGCAGTAAGGGCTTCCTTATTCCTTAGCTGCTGTTTCCATTTTCTTCTCACACTATGCTTTTGGGGTTAATTATCTTAAGTTGGTAGCATTATGTTTCACGGAACTGTGTGCGCTGTAAAATATTTCTAACTCAAACGCCTGCCTTAAACATTTAGCAGGAATAAATAAGCTTTGCTCTCCTTCCCCCAGTTTGTGATGATGAATGTACAGGACTCCTTCTCAGTGACCTGGATCGACTAAACCAGATGGTCATGAGTGTAAACTTTAGTGGTCCACTGCCTGCTCCATATAAAATGTTGCATGGTTTTGAGAACACGACACAGGAATTAAAGGTATGTTCACAGTATGCACACACAAAAATAACAAGGCTTCAGTACAACTGTGCTTAAATCTGTCCAAACATACAGCTGTGAGTAGGTTCAGGGAAGAAGAAGAATTCAAGGTTTAGTTATTTCAGACTTGCCCTAGTCAGTAAATAGTTATTACAGTTATTTATTATGACTTATTTTAATAACTAAATCTTGCAGCAATAGCTTGCTTGTGTACGTGTATGGAAGGACATATAATGCAGGCACGGGAAAAAGTGATGTTTCATACAAATAAAATGTTTATGCTAGTGGTCTTTAAAACATTTATGTGCTGTATACACAGTTTGTTCCTTTCCATACTCATAGGATCTCCACTAAAATATGTAGAGCTCCCAAGCTTCCTGAGTAAAGTGTTGGATGGGTGTGATGAAAGAGTCAGTGACAAGGGGAGTCACATACTGTGATGAGGAGGAGACCTTTGTTGTTTCTTCTCTACAATTTTGGAAGCACTGAAATCCATAAAATACAAATTTGTGTTTCTCCTCTCCCCCCAGCATTTGCTTTCACCTCAGCGAGCACCAGAGAGACTTCTTGAGCTAGCACAGGAAAATCTGGATACATTGGTAACAGAAATGGATGAACTTCTGACAAGGGTAGGTCACTAGTAAGTTAAGGTAGTACTGCGGGTTTGGTTAAGGCTGCATAGTGACAGAAATCTTTTGAAGATGAATTAAACATGAATGAATAGATGAATAGTAAGATGCTTTTCAGTCTCAGTATTTGAAATGACGGAAACTCCTCTAGCATCCTCTTCCTAGGGGCCGGTATACTGAGAGGTGTTTTCTGTGTGACTTCATAATGTAAGAAGCAGCTCATGCCAAGCACCCAAAAAAGTGTTTATTTAGAAAAGCTGAAGCTAAAGGAAAGACCAGTCCTGATATAGCATTTATGGGCTTCCTCATGACTTGTGTTACAAGCCCTGGGGCAACCAAATCATGGCATTAGCACAGAGTTCCTCACACAGCGGCAGTCTGTCTTTGGCTGGCTGAGGCTCTCAGAAACTAAGCTGCCCGGTTGCCTTCATTTTCTCCTTAATGTTAGTATGCTCTCTTGAAAGGTCTTTGTGTTCTGCATCAGCACAATCATCTCATTGTATTCTCTTTCAAATCTTCTGAATCTTATTGGCTCAAGATAGTACTCAGCCTGTTTCTCTCGCAGGATCACCTGTGACAATACAGGTAGCCTGTGTTCGCTCTGGTGCCCAACCATCTCAAGCATGTTATAGGAAAAGTTTTGCTGTTTTTGCAGTTTGGTTTCCCATTTTTTAGGTCATCTGCTCTGTCAGCTGGTTTCTTCAGGAGGTGTAAAGAAATGGTAGCCTAGGCTGATTCACTTATTTTAAAGAAGTTTTATAGCAAGACAAAGAGAGTCCTAGCTTAAGAAATAACTAGTTATCATTAAAAGTCAATGAGTGAAGTAATTGAAATGGGGACAATATTTAAAGGGAGAATTCAAATATATACAAAAGCATGTGAGAGTTTATTTAAATATACATATTCTATATTTCATTTATGAGGGAAGTGAGAGTCTGTTGGATGTCACTCGATGTACTACTTACTCTCTTTAGTAGGAAGTTTTATTTCAATATAGACCATATTTTGGTCTTTAGGAGAGATTGTCTAAGAAAATAATATAAATTGTGCCACCTAGTGGAGAAAAAATATGGAAAGGGATCACCTGCAATGAAAATTTAACTATTCAAAAGATGTTAATGTAAAGAACTAGCAAAAATCATTTTCAAAAGAGTAGGCGCTCTTCTGCACTGAAATAACCACATAAGCAAGATATTGATCCGATAATATGTGCAACTGAGGGAATGTACCTATACTCCGTGCAGTTTTAGCACCCTATCTTGAAATTGTTCATGGCTTGCAAAACTAAAATTCTCAAAGAAACTAGTTTGCACATGTGGATTATGTTCAATTTTGAAAAATCCTATTAGTTTACCTGTAGTGATTAAGCAAACATCTGAGGTATGTACACACATGTACGTGTGTGTGTGTGTGTGCGCGCATATCTGGCCATACACAGATTAATCTATACATACCCCCACTGTGAGTATTCAGGAAACTTGTTCTTTCACTTCTTTTTGATATTTTATTTTTTATGCCAAAAGTAACTATAGTAGTTTTAAGCATTGGTAGATTTTAAATTCAAGACAGGCTGACAAGAGCAGAAAATTATATTTCCTGCATTCAGCTTTCTCAGTCTTAGGCTATGACACATTTTTTTTCCTTTCCATTGTTTCTCTTTTTAGTATCCTTTTCTAATTCTCTCCCACCCTCAAAGCACCATCAAAAATAAAGTAAATTTCAATCCTCTGTGGCGATAATCTGAGATAAGTTTATGAATTCAGGCTCTCTGTAGACTGGTCTTGAAAGGAAAAGTAGCATGGGGTGGTCTGGAAGAAGTAGAGCGGTGGCCAGATTATCACCACTTTCCTTCCTGTTGTTCTGCCTTGCTGCAGCCAGTAAGTTGCCTTACGATTCCCAGTTATCCTTACAGGGAAGAGTTAACTGGATTGCCCTTGCAGTTTTTAATGTGGAGACCGTCAGCTGGTACCAAGTCCTACCCTTCTCTTTCTATATCTCTAAAAAGGAGGAATGTCACAACAAGATGTGCAGATCCTGACGTGGCATATTCAAGTCTCATTTTTTAATAAAGACATGGCTGAATACTAGCTAACGACTAGTGCTTGGTGTACATAGTGGGACTCCAGGTAGCAAAGGTTTTTCCCATCTCTGATTTGCAGGCTTACTAGATTTTCACAGTGAAAGCTGTAGTGGTGAAGAAAAAGGTTGATGAGGATTGGTGAGGAGCCTATTTCCATAAAGAAAAAATTCTAACCATTTTAATGTAGCAGGTAGAAGACAGTCGTATTTAGTCACTAAAGAATTTTTGAGTTTTTTTGCCTCCTCTGGGCCTCCTCTCGACCAGTCATCTCTTCCATCAGTGCAGCTCTCCTCTGTCTACTTTTCCATGACATTTTATTCTTCATTCACTCTGCCAATTTATATCTCAGTCTCTCTATAGGACATACTGAAGGTCGTCATCCCTTTCCCTTCTACTGGTTACATTCTTATAGACTTGCGTGCTCATTCCTGCATCTACCACCAGAGTTTTCCACTTGCAGTTCACTACTTTCAGCCAAAGATGACACCTCTCTTCTAATCAGACACCTTCAGAGCCTTCAGGAAAGTCAGAGACCACAATCACTCTTCTTGGTTGAAATACTTCTTTTGACTTTGAAAATGTCTTCGTTTTTCACATACCATTGAACTTCTGCAGTTTAGAAATTTGTGGAAGTACTAGCAGGGGCTACATGGTTTGCAAAAAGTCAGGGGGCAGGGGAGGGTTGTTTATTTGTTCTGTTTTGTTTCCTCTTGGGTGTCACCCCAAATACTTTCATCTATACAGAGGTCTGTGTTTCCTCCTCCTCCTGTAATCTGCAGCTCACTAGCTGGAGAAATTCCTGTAAAGCTCCCCTCCGGATACGATGCAGAGCAGGAGTTTCTCATGTTTGATTAAGACCTCAGACTAAGCAAAAAGATAAAAAAGGCTGTGCATGTTTGCTAATATGAATGTCTTGTCCCTCAGATTGGGGCAGGGTGTTCCGTGGCACCTATATTGCTAAGTTTAAGCCATGAATACCACCAAGGACATGTTTCACTGATCTCAAGTATATATTTTCTTGGATTTCCATAATAGGAATCTCTTTTGTGCCAAAAGGTCTTACTTGTGTCCAGACTTCTCAAAGATTCATTCCAAACCCTTACTCTGGTTCCAGTCTGCCTGAACCTTATCGCTTTCCCAGAGGAGTTTGTTATGTCTGTTTAAACTTAAACTGTGGGCAGCGATTAAAACCTGACCTTAATGAAATGGTGAATCAAAATAAACTGAACATGTGGCAAACAAGTGGGATTGATTAACATATAGAAACACCTAACTGGCCATGGAATGGCTACGTAGAGCGTGAGGGATGTTACATGCTGTTTAATTTGGTTTATGGAGTTAAACTTAGGCCAGAAAATGAAATGAAAGGCGGTTTTTTCAGCAAAGCCAATTATGTCAAAATACGGAAAGCGTTCGGGGATTTGAGTACTGAAGAGAACGGTCACAGAAAGGAAATGGAAACTGTTCGAATGCAGATTAATGTGCACCAAATTGCACTACATGCCATCCAGTCATAAATACTGAGAGTTTAAAGTGGCCAATTGGAATTAATATGAATGTCAAAAAAATAATCAAGGATAAAGGTATCTGCAAGTTATAAGACACCGTTTGCAGAAAAGGACTATAAATATTACAGAATAGAATAAAAGCAAATGCAAAAATTCTAAGCAAATAAAAAACAAAGAATGAAAGGCTGGTTGTTGAGGATGTGGCATTAAATAATAAGCTAGTTCTCAATTACCTGAAGAATAAAATGACATCAGAAATGCCAAACTGGGTTGGAGCAGTGGTCCATCAAAACTATTCTGTATTCCTGCATTTTTCCTATCCCAACTGCCTTTTACAACTCCCTGTGACAGTGTTATAGCTCTGCGTACAGTCAGGTAAAGGATTTTTGTAAGTCTTAGAGGTAGCAACCAAGAGCGTGATTACAGCTGTATAAATATGAAAAGCCACGTTCTTCTACTGGTTTAGGGACTAAAATGGAAACAGCTCTCCCCAGTCTGGTATGTGTTCCTAGTTCTTCCTTTATAGTTCTATTCACCTCAACCATTTTCATATAAATTAGGTACCTACAGGGTAAAGTTATCAGCAAAATTACAAGTGGGATGATAACGCTAGGGATTTCATTTCAGGAACTCAGCTGTCCTGATGTATCTTGAGGACCTCCATCTAAGAACTAATCAGAAAAAAAATCAGAGTGTTTAAGTGACGCCATATCTCTCTGATTATTATTGAAATGCTTTTGGTAACTGAGAAAAGGATTCCTATGGTTCACGACAAAGAAAAATTAAGTTTGTTTTGGGTCATTAACCTAGCTGTTTTCCAGAGACTGGAAAGATCATAATGCCCTGCTTCTAGACATTTCTTGGAAGTGCAACCTAGGGCATTACAATCTTCCCCAAACACTTCGGTTTTTGCTTTACAATACAGTTTGAAAAGCTATGCTTACTTGAAATAGTCAGCTTCTTTTTAGTAGAAATGGGTCCATTTTGTGAACGAGGATCTTGAAAAGTAAGTAGAAGATGTTAAGATGATTGTTTTCCTCAACGCTTTTTTCTGATCTGCAGAGGGTGTAGGTCTTCATTCTAATTCAATAAAATTATAAAGCATTTGGCTATGCAGTGGTAAAATTTTACTGAGCCCCCCAAAATGTGATAAGAAAATAACATCAAGCATTAGAGCTGAAAAAAACCACCTTTCTTTCTTTCTCTCTTTCTTGGTTTAATTAATGTGTTGATTTAAAATTCTTCTTGCCTATTGGCACAGACTATCTCTTTGAGAATGCCCCAGGGGAGGAAGCAAAGAGGTCACAATATCTGCTGCACTTTGTCAATGGTGAAGTGTGCAGTTGTGAAATTAGAGAAAGTATCCCCTGAAGAATCCATTAAAAGGTTCTGAACAACATTTATTTAAGCTAATTCATGAATAATTTCATCCTGTCTCCCTTTGTGTGCTGTTGCACACAACTAGAGTTTCCAAGAACGTAAAATAAAGCCTTCCAATTTCCATTTAAAGGAAAAGGTAATAAAATTTAATTGTGTACTTGAACAGAGCATGTCATTTCCAGTGCATCTGATCAATAATTCATTGATTGCATTTTGCCTGAGGAAAGTTTTGTAGGTAGATTCAGCCAGTAGGAATATTTTCTAATGCAGCCTTGCCCTGTTCATTAATTATACTTTTCCTCAACTTGGATCACTAGGCTACCAAGGTGACGGCAGATGGTGAGCAAACCAGACAGGATGCTGAGAGGACTAATGAGAGAGCGAAATCTCTTGGACAGTTCGTCAAAGGCATTCTCCAAGCTGCTGAAGGTACTGGAAAAATAAGTATGCTAGTTGTTTCTCAAGGAAACTATAGGACAGCAGAGAAGAGGATCTGAGAGACAGTGAGGAAGAGAGTTCAGTCACTGAAAGACGTCATGTGATTTATATGTTGAATTAAGAAGCTACAGTCAACTATCTTCAGACTCTTGAAATCCACAGGGTGTAGTTCATATCAACAGTTAGTGCAATGGTAATTACATGAACACAGACTAGCAGAAAATTGAGAATTTTGCAGTCATTTGAAGAAAAGGTATTATGATGAGGTAGCTAAAAGGGCACCTTCTGCTTAGCTTTTGTTTATTTTCAAAGCAGATATATTTGGAAAAAAAAAAAAGCCCGATATACTCTTAGCCCTTGGTACTTTAAGAGTTCGTCTTAATTTCTCAAAATGACTTCAAAAAATACATTACTCCTTGCTGTTAATGAACATCTGCTGCTTGGAATTTTCAAGAGGCTCCTAACTGTACCCAAGTAGTGGCATGGTGCCAATTTCCTTCCGTCCGCAGGCTGATTCTCTGCCTCTACAACTGCAGTGCAGACTCATGAGCAAAAGTATTGTAGACAGCTTTGAGAAGGAAGATCTAAATACTGTATGGAGCTATGAAATAAGAGAGTGGTTCAGTTATTTGAAAGTGATTGACAGTCACTAGCAAGCTTTTTATTTGAAAAATAATGGTCTTTTCTTTTGTATTTAAAACTCTCACTACAGTACTGATTTCAGCAGAGTCATGTTTCTAAAGGCCCGTTTGATTGAAAGGGAAAGCTACTACTTCTGTTAAAGCGCTGTAAGATATATTTTGCATTGCCTTTTGCATAACGCATCCCAGGACGCACCACCTAGTGGGACCAATCAGCAATTTAAGATACCTTTAGGATGTGCAACTTTGACATGAAATAAATATGGGAAAAGCAACATGAGAAAGTCAGGAAGGTTTGAAGAAGGTTTTTAAACAAAAATCAGACACGTTCTTCATATTTCAGTTAGAGTTGGATTTGAGAAGTCGATGATGAATTCAGGATGACAAGGGCTGGGCCTGTTTTTTGCTCCACAAGGTTGACTTTCAGTGTTTGTAACCCCCACAAGTTTCCTCAAGCAGGTTTAGCAATAGGGAATAAGAGTTAAAGGATGTTGAAGGGTGGAATAAATCCATGTAGTATCTTAGACGTAGACAAAAAGACTTTAAAATCAATGTGTTTGACTAGCAGCAAAGTCAACATTTTAAGAATAAATCAAATACAGGAACACAGAACTTAAAGAGACATCCTGGGTCACTGCATCCAGTCCCCTGCCCTCATAAACTTTCTCACTCGTATCTTCAAAGTAGTTCTCACACACACACACACACACACGCACGCACGCACGCACACACGCTCTCTGAATAGAAGGTATTTCCGAACTTGACTGTTCTGATAACTAAAAGCCTCATTTCTAGCTAAATGTATTCCTGGTCAGTTTACCGTCATGTCTTCTCTTGCTAACCTTTTTCGTTAGTTCAAATAGTTTTTACCTCTCCCTAGTGCTTCTCCTTCTCTTTCCCCCAACTATATTTATAGAGAGGAATTATGTTCCCTTTAAGCTATTTTTTTTCCCCTAGACTAAAACACTTAAAAACAAACAAACAAACAAACAAAAAAACCGCCTCATTCAATGTATTCTCCCAAATCTCCTGGCTGCCTTCATACTATTTCCCTGCCTCTGTTCCAAATTAGGTTCATCCTGGACAGAGGTAACCAGCATTGAAATGAGATTACTTCAGTGTCTTGCACTTCAGGGACAATAAAACCTCCCTGCATCAGCTCTCCTAATACTTTCTAGGATAGCATTTCCTTTTTTTTTTTTTTTCTTATTTTTTTTAAAACAGCTGTGTGCCTTGGAGACTCATAATATAGCAATGTTCTTCTCATCCATAGCTAATCTCTGACTGGCAAAGCCTTAATTTAGACCTGAAATTTCTTTTGTAACTTAGTTCACAACCTTACATTTTGTACTATTGAATCTCATTCCATTTTGATTACTTCAGTTCTCAAGGTCACCTGGTGTTTTCTGAGTAGCATTCCAGTCCTTCTCTAGCAAGAGTTTCTTAAAACTTTTTCTCATCAGCATATTTAATTAGTAGACCTCCATTTTTTTGCCAAGATCATTAATGAAAATATTCAACTGGATCTCTCACTAACCATACAATCTGACATGTGCTACCTTTGAAGAAACCTTATTCATTTATTCCGTATCCTATTTTCCACTTACTTCCAAAGCAAGCTCTCAGGCCTTAGCAGAGATGCCCTTCCTTACTTCTGATTGCTGTCCTCAATTTGTCTCCCTATTCAAGATCACTGTCTTTCAAAAATTGGGGATAAGTGTTTATTTGCTTTATTTTAAGCTATTCCTAGATTATTTTAAAAGCCTATACCTTCACTGCATGTTGGACCCATGACTTCTGTTTATATTGTTTGTTTTTACAGATGAAGACTATTATTTAATTCTTTATGCAGGGAGTAATTCAACTCAGTTTCTGTTAATTTTTGCTTTGTCTCTGCTCTTCTTGACCTATAAGACATAGACTTATGGACTTGATTGTTCCTGGAAGGCTTTATGTCCACTCATGTTGTTCTGAATGAGAACAACCAACCAGTTTGCTTACAGGCAAAGCAAACTGCTTTTTCTCTCTGCTCTTCCCTCTACTGGATTACAGATTTCTGAAAGTTCTAATACTTTGGAGCTGTGGAAATGCAGGTCTTTAGCTATGATTCTGAGCTCCCTAGTACTTTCTGTCAGTAGGCAACTGCTTAGGATGAAAGTAGCCCTCGGACTGACTATTTCTTTCCACTGAGTGAAAGTAACGCCTGGGAGTGGCAGTGCTCCTTATTACTAGCAAGAACTTTGTAGTCATTTGTTGTAAAACCCATACTCTGAGCATTGATCCATTTCAACTGAACTGATTATTGACTTTGAACTTCTGAGAACCTGTAACTAGTTTTCCCTCATAACCATGGAATTTTCACAGCTTTGCACAGCTTTGTGTGCTTGGATGCCAGTGCATCCAAATCCTGTATCCGAATCACTGAACTCTGATAGTTTGCAGTATATCAAGACTAGAAAAAACAAAGATCATTATCGGATGAGGAGGACGGAGCAAAAAGATATAAACTTTCCTGCACCTAGTAAGTGCTGAGATAAAAATAACCATTTTTAAGGTAAATATTCAGGGGTTTTAAATTACTATTTATTTATTCCAGAATAAATAAATAAATAAATATATGAATAGGCATATATATATATATACACACACACACACACACACACACACACACACACACACACACACACACACATATATATGTATGTATGTATGTATGTATGCCTATTCATGCCCTGAGGTAACCTAGTAATGATATGTAACGTAATTCACACAAGCAATCCAGTAGTAGTAGTAGTCATCTTGTTCCAGACCTCAGTACCCTGGACATAAGCATTCTTAAACACCCAAATCTCAGTCCTCCTCTGCAAATCAAGTTTAGAATTAGAGCTTTCCTCCTCATCATTTAGTTTAAACATCTGCTCAACTTGCAGATGATATACTCATTTATTTGAATTTTAAAAGACACACATTAATTTCTTCAATTAAAGATTTAAGCTAAAATATTCAAATGTACCTATGTGACCAGGAACTGTATTATTTTGGTAATATTAGGTATTTGGAAGCCTGGTGCCTATGGAAAGGCAATAAGGCATTTTCAGTTTCTTAAACTGAAAATGGAACTGATTGTTTTAAATCACTTAGTTGCTTCTGAAATTGTTTATTCAGAGTATATTATGGTGTGCTAGGACAAAAAGACTTTAGTTGGTCCTTGAATATGATACCATGTGTACAGCTTTGTCGGTTAGGAATAATTCGACTATTCCAAATACACAGTACATCTACATTGTACTGTCATGTATTCTATCCCTCGTACTCTCTTTATCTACTTCTGGGTATCTGCTTTTAAACACATGAGCTCTCTGTCTGTGGCTGTCTTTCACTCCTCTTCTCTCTCCTTCTCCTTCTCACATTTCCTAGTCGTTTATTCTTCCTAGCATTGCTAAATATTTTGAAGGTCTTCAAAAGTAATTTAAACCTGATTTTCATTGCTTTTTCTGCCTACTCCTTAACTCCCTGAGCAATATCCCAGATCACCTTCTGCTATTTCAAAGGTTCAGTGTGAATTCTTTTGGGGGAAGGAAGGAGGGAGTAATATATTTCTTACGCTGTACATAGAGAGTTCTTCACTTTAATTCTTGTGCCTGAAAGTGAGCTACAATAAAAGATTTGATGAAACATATAAAATTTTTCCATTTGTTACTGATCATTGGATTAACTGTCCTTTATATTTCACAGCAGGAATACCTAGTGCAAACTGCGTTCCACTTGCTGGTGGAGTTGATGTGCAGATCCTTAAAGCCTCTCTGTCATTTTTATTTACTCTCTCTCTATATATATTTGTGCCCCCTGCAGCTGTAAATGAAGATGCTATAAAACTGAACGAGACGCTCAGAACCCAAGACAAGACCCTGGAGAAGAGTCTCCCAGAACTGCAGAGTGAGGCTGACAGAATGATGGCGGAACTGAGAAGCAGAAAGCTGAATTTGCAGGAAGCAGTAGCCCAAGATGAGTTAAAGTGAGTAGAGGGACCTCCGTCTTCAACCTCCCGGTGATAATATCTGAGTCTCGTAAATGTGTTTGCCATCCATTACCGCCGAGTTTTTAAGCTGGGGCTTACAGAAATGTGAAAGAAAACAAAGTCTGATATTTCATATCTATTAATATGGCATTTGTATTTTTAGAAATGCTTGCATATGCATAAAGTAATCCCTAGGGAATTACTTCTCTGCTCCACAGGTACAAGCAACTTTTCTGATCAAATTCTTAGCAATTGTTCTGTTTGTGTTTAGCTTCTGTTTCAGGCCTGAAGAGGGCCTGAAGAGGGCTTCTGTACCAAAAAGTTTTTCCGTTTCTTCTGGAAATACTAATTAGTCTAATAAAAATGCTATCTGTCTGCAAAGCTTGTCCAATAACATATACATTCAAAAGAATGTGTTCTGCCATATATGGAAAAGTATAGATCAAAATCCAACTCCATGGCACAGCTTAGAAGCCCAAAGTTTGGTCACCTAGCTGTCTGTAAAAATAAAAATAAAAAGAACGTAAAAAGATAATAATACCAGCTGCTCTTTACAAAGTATTTTGAGACCTAATTCCTATGCTTCCACTGATTCCACGAAATGCTGAAAACTGACCTGATCCAGCAAAATACTTGTCCTGAAGCTAACATTTTGGCAATCTGTTGCTTCTGTATCAATGAGTCCAGGCATATTCCTAGGGCTAGGGAAATGCTCAGCACTATACTACAAGCACTTTACTACAGCAAACAGCCAACAGGTCGTTCCACTGAGCAGCTATGTAATCCATTGAAGTTGTGTGATGGAGGCCTCAGGAAGCTGACTGAAGTACATGTTTTCAGGCTTGAAAATGTTGATTATTAGGTGTATGCATACTTTAAGGAGACATAAATGAAGTACAAGCTTAGCTGAGAATTCCAAGCAGTGTAGAGTCAGATTTGCACTGCCTGTCTTATGCTTAATAGACTGGATCATTTCCTGGAAGTCCTACAAGTACCGTATCTCTTCCCATACTTCTGATAGCTCCTCTCTCTGTTCTCATGAGAAAGGATATAATGAAAACATATTCTACAGCAACGTTTTATTACTTCTTCTTTTGATTCCACTGACTGCCAGCTATACCTTCTTTAGTCACTCATAGAAATAAAGGAGCAGGAGAAAAAAAATAGGGAAGAGAAAAAGTTAGCCAAATCTTTGAAAGTGCTGTTTGCAATTTTAGGGCAGTTGCCAGGGTGGAAGTACTTTCCAAACATGGTGTTCATAGTCCTTGAATGCTGTAGCCAGCATGAAACTATCTGACTAGCGCAAAATCAGTCCAATTGCTAGAGCAGGAAATGTGATGGGTTTTTTGAAGGAGAGAACTACTCTCCCTCTTACCATTCTTCCTGAAATGTGCAAAATGAGTATTTTCATTTCCTGATAAAGGAATACGTTTTATACTCAGAAATACATGAATACACTAACTGATTTCAATCAAAGTTGTATGGCTGTAGCTTAAGGATAGGATTAGTCCATTACAGGTGATCATTGAACCGTTGAGATCCAAGGGATTTTGACAGTGACTCAACAGAAGGAAAATTAGAGTCACTGTGGATTATGGGGGAAGAGGAGGGAGTGAAAAGCCCCTGGAAAATGTTTTCTGAAACTCTTTTAGGAAGGAGTGCCTCTTAAAGAAAAATGCCTTAAAACTGCTTAAACAATGTAGTAAGATACAGTGGGTAGGACGCATTCTATATGGAAAAATGATAAAGAGAAAATAATCATTCTTTAAACAGTGTGTGTGTGTATGTTTGTGCAAGCACATATGTGGATCTGCACTCACACGTAGTCTTTATAGACTCATTTTGAAATAGTTTTTTTTGAGTGGCTCTGCAAGTCTCTTGACCACTTTTAAGTGGTGAATCATGTTTACTCTTTGGTGAGAAGTCATTTGGCAGTGACTGTATTGTGCTTGGCTAGTTTTCAGGATTTGATCCAAGAACAAAATGGCAAGAATCAGAGTGGATCGTTTTTCCCTATGCTATATGTTCAGTTAATTCTTAAATATTAAAGGAAGGTGATAATAACCATTTCAACTACTCTTTAAAGCTAAGGCTTCTTGCTTTCACAGATGGCAAAACTTCACTTACATTTGCAGCTTTTTCCCTCATTTATTTTCCTTCAAACTTTTCAAGTCAAGTCTGTAATCTGATTGCCTTAATCTATTGAAATGGCATATTAGTAAATATTTCTTTAATGAAAATACATTAAAAAAATCAATTTCTGTTCAAACACTCATATTTTTTATATTTCTGAAATAAATCTCCTAATATGTTATAACTTTCTTAAATCACAAGATCCTGGAAATATGTGATTATGAAAGAATCTCTCATTTTCTTAGACTCCACTGAGTTGCTGTTGAGCGATGCTGTAAGCCAGAAGTCTATCTTTGTATTTAATATACTGAATAGCTATATTTTTCTGTGAATTTTTCTTCCATGAATTTCTCTGATGGCTTTTTAGCCAATGTAATCTTTATCATTCCCAGTTTCCTGTAACAATGAATTGCATAACTCAACCACACGCTGTTTGAAGAGCTCCCTCCTGTGTTTTGAACTCAATTACTGATATTTTCTTTTGATGCCCACCAGTTTTTGTATTAGGAGAGAGAGTGGACAGCTGATCATCTTATCCATGCTGCTCATGATTTGATAGTTCTCTATCATGGGTCCTTTCTTCTCCAGAAAGAACAATTCCAATATGTTTAGTCTTCCCTCATAGATGTACAGGGTTTTTCTGGATCATTTTGTCATCTATCTCTAATATTTCTTTTGTTCCATCATACTCATTTTGACAATCTGGATTAGAATACAACGTTCCAGATGTGAGGCCAAATTTATGATTATTTCTTTTAAGTATTTTGTATGGTTTTGTTCTTTTCCAGGAAGACATCCAGTGAAAATAGCACAGGTTGAATATAAAAGACAGTATTTCAAGAAACATGGTGGCATCTGGTCACGCAGAAATTTCAGTACATAAAACAAGGAATTAAATGGAGCCTTGAACTTTGATAGAAAGAGCAGAGGGAAAAGTGCGCAAGAGATAATATTGATCTGTTATCTTTAGACCGCCAAAGAGGGGTTTTAAAATAGACTACTAGTTAGGTATGCAGTTTGGACTGCACTGTGAGACAAGGGCCTAAAATAAGAAATCCAGCTGTCTTGTACTGTTCCATCTCATAGTCATAAGGATGCCATAACTTGCCAGAAGTTTAAGACAGTAGTTACTTCTGCAAAGACAAAGCAGAAAGTATAGAAAATACTCTGAATTCCTTTCAACATTTCTTCTGTGATAGGATGTCAATTCTGGGTTTTTTTTTTTTTGTTTGTTTGATTAAATGTTTTCTCCTCAGAAGTTGCAAATTCACAACTGGATGATTTTTTTTCATCAAAATCAGAGGGAGGGCAGATGTGGGGGGAAATCCATCCCAAAAATCCATCCAGTCCTCCCAAACTTAAGGTAATAACATAGGATTTTATGGATTGAGTTCAGGTTCTTCCTGTAACATAGGCCCAGTGGCAGCATATCTTTTCCACCTCTCCTATTTGTTTTTATGCATTTATCTATGTATATGTTCTTGAAAGGTTTGCAACGGAACTGACTATAGGCAGGCCAAACTGCAAAATTTTTCAGAAAATAGAGTTCTTATTTCCAGACAACTAATCGCTTTGTCATAATGAGACAGGAAGGAAAATGCAAACTGTTCTAGATAGAAGTGTGATGGAGTTCTTCTGCAGATATTCTCTCTTCTGCAGATTCCTATTTCCGTATCATTTTCCTTTATCTCAAAGGCATCATTTAGGAAGTGATGTTACATTACATGAAACTGGTTCAAAGGCATGGTATCATGAAGGAGAGAAGTGACACGGTATAAAGATTATTTCAGTCCTTTAAAACTGGATGCAGCAGCTCTCTAATGATCAAGAAATACTTGTATCCCCTGCCAAAAGCAGACACGTGAATTTTCTGTATTGTCAAAGTCCATTAAAAATATCTCAGCATTTACTTGAGATAAGGAAAATACTTTGGCTACTGGAATCATAAATCCAAGGATCCTGGGGGTTGTTTGTGACACAGGAAAGAATTTATGATTTTTAACTGACTAAAACAGTTTGTCTGCTCCTAGACAGCTTGAAATCAGGCATATCTACATTCTGTCGCCTCTGCTCAAGGTAGTAAACCAGTTTTTGTCAAGCGTCACATTAATGTGAATGACGGAATGCTTTTTGACAAGTTGAAATGTTTCAAAAAGCTTCACTTTACTAGTCAGATCTGAAGAATGGCAACTCACCACAAAAAAAAAAAAAAAAAAAGCAGTCCTACATGGAAAATATTTCCTGCTTCCTAAAAAGGATCTTAGCACAGTTTAAAAACCTCTTTAACAAAGGATCTAAGAACTACCTGTCATTTCATTTTATTAAGCATGTTAGCTCCTGAAAGTTACTTTGAGACTTTATTCAAAAGTCCATTTCATTTGCATGATATTGAGAATATTGAGATCATTTAGTGTAGGAAAAATTGACTTAATGCCTTTTGGGGTGGGGGTTGGGGTGTTGCAGGAATGCAGAAGACCTTTTGAACAAAGTGAAGAAATTATTTGGAGAACCCAGTGAGAAAAATGAGGAGCTCAAAAATGAGGTCCGTGACAAGCTGGCAAACTACTATACTAAAGTTGATGATGCTCGAGATCTGCTAAGAGAAGCTACTAGTAAAATTAAGGAGGCTGATCATTTATCTGAAGTCAACCAAAAAAACATGACCATGGTAGAGGTGAGTGCTGACAAACCATATCCTTGATTAACTTGGTATCTGACCAAAATTTGAAACTTTGCACGGACATTTTGTAACAACTAAATCCTAAAACAAAAATACAAGGAAAACTAAATTATTCTTGAAATACAAAAATATCTTATATAAAGTAAAAATATTCCTCAGAGCGAGGAAACGCACTGGCTTTAAAAAGTGGAACTACTCCACAATTTTCTCTATCAAAACAATACTAACTGTTTTTAAACATTGAGTGGAGAATGCCATTGGATTCATTACCTTTTGTGAGGTTAAATTTGCCTCAATATAAATATTCATGCAAAATTCAAGTCCTGTGCTCAAGATTTAAGTAGGGGAATTCAGTTAAAATCTTTGCTGTCATGCATTTGCTTCTAGAAAACTTACACTTTCATCTCCCCTGGGAAGAAGACTGAAGGGGGTATGTGGACATTACAGACTAATAAATCAAACTCTATCCTCTGTATTTAGTAGCTGTTATAAACGAACTCCCTCATAGCAGAGGGGTCTACTTTAGATTTAATTTAAATTGCAGAGACTTGAAGAGCACATTAGACTGTACATAAACAAGCATTTATCCAAGATATAAAGAGCACAGTCAATTTAATGGAGATAAATGTTTCAAACTCTGTTTTTATCCTGATGAGTTTTTGCCTAATGTGCAATGATGAGGTTAGAGTTCTGAGACCTCAGTTCTCGTCAGAGATTTGTAGGCTTGATTGAATTAAGGGAATACAGTGATGTAAAGGAGTTAGGTGATTTCTGTTCTGTGCATTTACTTCCCCAAGGTGGATGTAGAAAGGTTACCTGCTATCTCAATTCTTAAAGTTTTCCCTTCACCACAATGTGAGGGTGCCTGAAGGCATCTTCTCTGATGGCCTGGCCCACTTCGTGGTTTTGAGCATGATTTTTTCCTTTTTCTTTGGACTCTGTTTTGACCAAGAATCCATCACAGCATTATTAATGCTAGAATGCCATGGCGTCCTGTGTTTGTAATGCTTAACGGATCTTGCACATGGACTAGCCAGTTCCTTATTCAGAAGACCTTCCTTATTACACAATATGTAATATTTTGTGGAAAATCAAGAGTCCTAAAGTTGCTTCAAAACATCATCTTTTATTTTACATTCAGTAGTTAGTGAAAGGCCAGCGGATGCACTTAGGAAAGCAGAACAATATTATGATAAATTTTGCCTTCATAGCCAGAGAAGATAATCGGCAAAAAGAGAAAGTTTATCCACATTTGGGTAAAGGTTAGGATTTCTGTCTTTTTTCTGACCTTTTCTCCAATAGTACTACAGTCAGTAGTAGCACAGAAAAACTGCCATGTTGGAGGGGGGATACAGAGCTGGGAGCAGAAGGGGAAAGAGAAGGTATCTTACATTAAATGTGCTCTGTTGTTGTCACTGTCTTTTCTCTGAAAGCTCAGAGAGTTTCGGAGGTTTAACTTTTGTGAAGTCATAACAAAGTGCAGTTGTATTTGAACTGGTACCCCATTTCTGTTAAATAATTTATATTTTGCTTTTTGTGAACACATCCTATAGAAAAAGAAGAAAGCTGTAGAAGATGGCAGACAAGAGGTTGAGAAGAGCCTACAGGAGGGTAATGATGTCCTTAATGAAGCCAGCGATCTTGCAAATGAAATCAGCTCAGCTCTAGAGGTGAGTGTTTAGCTCAGCTTTGTCTCATCTTTAGCTGAGACAATGAGTACATTGAGTACAATGAGGCATTATTATGAAAGCAAAATAAATAAAGAAATACCTGGTTTTTCTTTTTATATATCAATGTTAGAATATTTGAATTGGAAGGAATCATTTTTCTGTGTGATGGAAAAGATAAACTGATATATAAAAATGATTAAGCTTGAACAAAGCTTATGTTATTACACAGCGATCTAGCTCATCACTTCTCGTGGACTGTAGCTCCTTTTCCAAATGCGGCATTGCAGTTGTGGTTCTGACTTTTTCTTTAGAATTGCAGATGCAAGAAACCCACTCAGAAACCCACAGTTTCACTGTGACTCTTTGATCTAGATGTAGGTTTGTCTGCACAAAAACTGTATGTGCATATCACAAGGAAATTTTAGAAATAACTTGTTGCCTGTGGCAACAATTTGAATTCTAGATAGATCAGGGAGAGAGGAGGATTGCACTCTCATTTTACATAATGTTTTTGAAAATTCTACCTTAAAAGTTTTATTGATAAGAGTTTGAGATCAGTGCCTTAGTTCCAAAAAAAAAAAAAAAAAAAGTCTTGAAGAGCATTGATTCTGGAAATATTTCCCATCTTACACTGCAGATTGATATAATGAATGGAAAAATGTCTTACAGAGAAATGGGAAAGGAAGCGTATTTTGAGACAGCTTATTGGGACAGGAATCGAAGGTCTTCAAAAAGTATAGTAGTTGTAAGATAATTTAGTAAGCAAAACCAAAACTGAGTCACTCAATGAAACTTCTGTCTCTTGCAATATTATTTTGTCTACCTTGTGCTCCCCAGTTCAACCATTTCTTTATTCTTTCCTTGTTAGTTTCCTGAAGTCTTAATGCATGGCTAAGTTATGAGATCTCATAGAGAATATACATAAAGGGTTACACTACCCTGTGCATGTATTCAAGCTGCTTGAAGGCTTTTGTTTTGTTGGTTTCAGTACGTAGAAGGCATTGCAGATAAGATACAACCAATGTCTGATCAGCTGAAGGATAAAACAGATGACCTATCACAAGAAATTCAAGAGAGGATGCTTCCAGAAAAGGTGTTGCAAGCTGAGAATCATGCAGCCCAGCTGAATGAATCATCTGCGATACTGGATGGGTATGGCAGCCACTTGTTGGTAATTCTAAAATGTTGAAGCAGGTCTGTAAAACGTATTGACAGAAATTGTAAGGCATGCTTTTTAAACTTTGACATCTGTCCTTAAGAATATACAAATATCCGGTGATATGTATGGATATACAAATATCCACTCCAATTAGAAGAGCTGGATTCATCTCTTTGATGAAAGTCTGGGCTTTAGATATGGGAAAATGAGAGAACAGCTTGAGATAAACACCCCAAAACTAACAGGTAAGAGAAGAATTGGATTTATTTTTTCCTCTCTCTGTTTGGCACTGTCATTTCTATGAGGCCAAGCTCAAAAGTGGAGGGGACTGTAAATTGTTAGTTTCGCTTGTTCTGTGTTGATGACTTTCCTACAAAGGCTTTTGCACACGCGAAATATGCAATAGCAATGAGAAGCATGTGTTTTGTTTACTGTTACACAGTTTAAATTGCCAGCCCCTAAGACCATACAGTTGCAAGTACTGACGTGAAAGAGGGAATCCTCACTAGAATGTGGTGCATAACTGATAATTCGGGGTGGACTGTTGTTTAAGAGTGTGGCAATTGATCTTCTATCACTATCTGAAAAGTATCACATGAACTGATGTGACGGGCAACGTACTAGACAAAAGCAGATGCTAGTCACACAACGGTACCCCTGGGTGAAACAGAACAGAGCTCAGCATCTGCTTTAGAAAGTTACTGAAGAGTAGTAGTCTCCTTGCTGTACCCTGGTGCACAGGTTGGTCTTCCTTCTTAGTCAAAGCATTAAATGCTCATTAATTTGAGCAAATGGTGATCAATTCAGCAGAAAGTGCCTCACGCGTTGTGCGGTTCAGATGCTAGCTCAAGCCGTATCCATATGCCAGTCTGCTCTAAAGTAGGTCCGTGTAAAAATGATATTACAGTTTGTTATATATCTCCACTACGGTACTAGCGTAATCGGATCTCTATGTGATACTTGTGCAGTAGTTAAAAAAAAAAAAAAAAAAAAAAAAACATAAACATGTATGTATGTGCATATCTCTTGTAAGCGGTTTCATACATTTTGTGATGTTTATATGCTGCATTACCTGCAAATGGTGCCCTCAAGTGTACTCTTAATTTACACAGTTTGGCCCACCATATGCTTGTCGCTAGTGTTGACATGAAAAAATGAACTCAATTTTCTCTTACAGAGCTCATTATGTGTTTTGAAAAAAATTAGTTAAAAACAAGCTGTATATATTCATTTTTAAAACAGCTGTTTTTAGTAGGAGAACCTTATCATGGTGTGCATCTATATTTTCTTAGAAATCCCCCATAGTGACAGATATGCAATCGCTCTAGTGGTTTCAAAATACTCTCCAAAAATTAGTAACTGTAATGGGCCAAAATGCTTAAACTTGAGTACAGAAACTTAAGTTTCCGTTCACCATGATCATGTTCCTAAATAAGAGTGAGAAATGCAGTGCCCTTAATTTATATGTTCTCAGCTCTCTCTAGAAAATGTTACCTCATAACTTGTTCTGAGCATAGTTTCCTGGAAATAGTGGAAGGTAAGTCCTTTTTTTTTCCGTTGAAGAAAGGAAAGCTATCAACTGAGAGTGCAACTTGCCACAATAATACTCAGTAATAGAACATTGATATCCTGTCTCCTGTACCTGTCGCCAGTATAACTGAACAGTTTTATTTTCCCAAAGCACTACATGGATGAGAAAAAGATAATTTTGCACATTAATAGTATACTGAGTTTTGTTGCTTGCATCTTTTTAAGTTACCTAAAGATCACTCTACGCAGATGCTCAGTCTAATTTACATTTTGAGGAATACATAAAATAATGGCAGTTATGTTTTCCTGAGTAAAATGACTTTCATAAAAGGTATGTGCACTGTCCAGTTAGGACACAGGACAGTTGTGTGCTGCACCTCTGGGCCTATGTGACTACTATCACATCCAATTACAGTACTGAATATGGATATAAATATTCAAACAAATGGTGACTAGGCATGGAGAAACGAAAGTAAGAAGTAGAGAAAACGAAGAGAGAAAAGAATGTTGAGCCTCTATAATGAAATGCTGACAAGACAAATTTTAAGATAGAGGTTTTTAGTAGTGTAAGATAGACCTTTTTTATGGGTGTGGGCATGTACTTTAACATAGGCTGACTGATTGGCCTTCGGGGAGGCTAGGGTAGTATTTAAAGCAGCCGTCATTGTGGTATAGCAGTACAATGCATACTTTTGTCTGATCCAGACATCACTCTCAAGTTCTCAAGATATACAAGAAATGCAGAATCAAGAACATTTGAAATCATATCTAAAAGCAAATTGTTCCAAATTAAAGTTTGTAGTGTGGTGTCAGATACAGAATGAGAAAAAATACGAAGCTAGTATGTCAGCCTGCATCAGGATAAAGTTGTTTACTGCATGTACCAGTGTAAACAGTCATACTTTACAGGACTTCATAGTCTCTATCTGTCTATCCTAGGAATTCAAAAAATATATATATCCTCACAACTGGCCCTTGGGTGTCTTTTAGTTAATACTAAATTTGCTGAAAAATACCATTTCATGTTACAGGAGAAATTGAGAGAGAGCCCTTTCTCTCACATCACCCCCTAAGGCTTTAAATAGCATATTGATTGATGAAGAGGATGCTCTTTTTAGAGGTGGAACATGGAGCAGTTCAGGAATTTAACCTAGAAAAATTATTATTTTTCCTGTATACAGGGAAGTATTAGCATTAGGCTTTTCCCTTATGCCTGGTAGCCTGCTAATGAGTAAACTTCATTGGAACGTGGAAAATTCAGTTCAGTTCCCTCCTAAGCTAGGGTGGATTTGAACCATATTTCTAAGGAGTCCTTTAACTGCTAGCTTAGGTGTTCCTTTAAGGGTATCACAAAAACTCACTATAGCCTAGCGAGCTCCATCCATAGAGGGGAAGGAGATCCGCCCTTCGAGGAATGATGCAGAGGCAGTTCAGTCGCATTGCTTCTGCAGCAGCCTTAAGAGAGGCTCTCCCCCTTGATTAACTACATACGGAGTCCAGGGAGTATACCCTCCGTCTCCTTTGTCTTTCCTGTTGCATTTTGTAAAAATCATTAAATACTCATTGAAGCGAGGATTGGAGCCCAGCTGTCCTGGTTCCCTCGAGAACAGACTAATTACCAGGTTGGAGAAGGAATTTCTCCTTCTCCCACACATTCTGTCTCAATGACTAAGTATTTTATACAAGCTGGAACAGCTCCAGCAGGAGTAATGCCTGCTTCCCTTATATTACCTTATATCTTGATGGCTAGAGCATTTCCCTGAGAGGCAAAAATCTAAGTTCAAATCCGTTCTTGCTCAGTTCAAGCAGGAATTTGAATCTTTACCTGTTGTTCAGGACAATGTCATAGGCATCAGGCTGTAATGTGTTCTGAGATGGATGCTTTCAAGTTAATTCTGTTGGAGCTGTTCTTCTTTGCAGAAGATATTTGAATGTATCACACAGAGTGCAAGAGAATTGGTTTCTCTAGCCGGTGGCTAGAAATTTCCCAGGAAGTGGGTCAGCTGAGCTCCAATCCCTGCTCCAGGAAATACTATTTCACCTTTTAATTAATCTTTTGATTAAGTTATAGTTATTATGAAAGAATATTTCATCTTAATGGAACATCCCATTCAATGTGAAGCATTATTGGTTATATTTTTCATTTTGGTAAGCAACATGAACGTTTAGGATTTCGTTTCGATAACGAGATCTTCCCCCAGCGCAGCCTTTATGTGTTTGGCAGCCAAACAAAGAAACAAGTGGTTCATACAGTCTACTGTGAAACATGCCTGTGATGATATCCCCCATGTTCATACAGTGCAAAATTCAGTATTTCCCCGATTCAACACATAGCCTATAAACCCATATTATGAATATGTCATTTGGATTGTGGTATTAAGCATTGCACTATCTTTTCTCACTGTCTCATCCATTTTTATCTCACAAAACCTGCTCTTTAGAAAACATGGTTTTTTATGTCTTTCTGCACAGATAAAATGTGAATCCTATTAAACACATGATACCAGGACTCCGGAAATCTCGAGTGTAGCATTGCTCTCTAAAGCAATGCCTTAGAAATAGGCTTAGAAAGATAGACTTTCGGTTTGAAAAAGTAGGGTACTATGTTCTGTTGAGCTCTGATAGCAGGTTTAATGGTGTGTTTACTTTTTCCACCCTGACAGAATCCTTGCTGAAGCCAAAAACCTCTCTTTCAATGCCACACTTGCTTTCAATGCTTATACTAATATCAAGGATAACACAGATGAAGCTGAAAAAGTTGCCAAGGAAGCCAAGGCTCGTGCAAATGCAGCTATGCAAGCGGTAAGAAAAATAAGCAAATTGGGAAGAAAGCTTAGATTTTTTTGTGGAGCCCTGCTGCACCTTATCCTAGTTTCCATGTTTGGCCATCTTACAACTTTATTTAGAGAGTCCTGCTGCCAAAGATCCTTGATCGGAGAGATCGGAGAGCTATGCCCCGGCCAGGGCTACACGCACCTTTTCACTACATCCCTGCTTGCCCTTACCTCCTGTTTCTTGATCTCCTTTCCCTTTTCTTTTAATTTTTTTCCTCCTGCTGTCTTCTGCCTTTCTGTCTCTGCCTATGACTCAAGCCAACAGCTGCTGCAGGAGAGCTTGGAGTCAGGAGTGCGGATCACTTGATACTCTGTAAAGCTAGCTTATATTTAACAGATGTTTTTCACACATCTAAAGAGCTCCATAATTTAACTAACCTACATCTAAGAAAATACTTAAAGGCACTTCCCTGCGCGTAGGATGAACTGTGAGCAGTTAGTAGATTCTAGATGTGGAGACAGCAGAAAGTTTCATTCATAAAACCCATACGACTTCTTTTCTAAACTACCAGTTTTCGTAGTGAAACGCTGTTCTCAGTATGAAGTACTGCATGTAAATCCCAGGAGGAAATGGAGAGAATGTTTAAAAATAGGATTCTAAGGTAAAGCCAACTCTTCAACCTGAGTCATAATGAGGAATACATATTTTGTGAGCAGAAATCATTCTGAGCATAGCTGAAATTATTTTTTGTGTCAAGTATCAAAGGAGTTAATGGCTAATTTATGGAAGTCAGTCAGAGAGCAGCTGTTAGGCGTTTTGCAGGCCCACGGACAAGAAATAACCAAGGAGACGACAGTATGGCATGAAATTGCCAGACCCTATGTTTGATACAGAAATGTATAGAAGTACAAGTAGATGAGCAGAGGCAGCTTGTTGTTGCAGCACTTGTAGATGAATAAAAGTATTTTGCAGAAAGCAACTACAGTCAAATGGATTACCAAAATAGCAAAGGCAGTAACATGCTGTAAAGGTCTGCGTTTAAGAGAGGGATAAAGCTAACCACGGCACAAATATTTTTGTATTTTTAGACAATTTCAATTTTCAACTTATGTCAAATAACACTAATTACCATATTTTTCCCTTGAGGAAAAATATTCATCTCACATGTTAGTATATGCTATTTTTCTATAAATACAATTATTTGTTTCACTGGAACTACTAATTAACACTATAGAAGTAAATAAAGAGCTGTGGATTTTTTTTTCTTCTCATTGGGATTTGCTCCTTTGCTGACTCACATTGAGTGAGGCAGACGGATATTTTGAGGGTTGAGTAGGAAGAAGAGATGTACAGCAGTCAAGAAACAAAAGAAGCAATTACTGTATGGCTACAAAATAGTATTTGTTAGACAGTGAACCAACTGATTATACAATGGAGAGAAAGTGGAAAGATAATCTGAAAGGAATGGAAGTGAAGAAATGGACAGTATGGTGTAAGCAGAGACAAATGAGTAGCAAGGAAAGAAACGCAGACTTGATTATGGCAAGATTTTTAAAACCTCTCCATTGTATGTATTCATTAGAGAGAGCCTACTTATGTGCCATATATGTGTAACAAGGACCTAGTTGATAGAAAAAAGGAAAATGGAGGGAGCTACTGCCTTTTAAATGTATTTGGCTTAATATCAAATAGAGGTGATTGGTGGTAAACACCAGATTCCTGCAAAGCAAGGTAGTTTTTTTTATCTGGTGGAGGATCATGTTAGGATTTTATCCCAGGTTTGAAAAACATATGCCTAACCCAACAGATAATTGTGGAGTTCAGTCCTTCTTTCCCTATTCTATTTTTTCATTTTTTTTTAATGCAAAGACTGCTGAAAGCTTGCTCATCCTAGTTCAACAGGCTCCCTCTTTCTGCAGGCCCCAAGGAACTTACTTTTAGCTGAGCTTCAGCAAGAGAATGGGAGTGCAGCCTTGCTCAGGGCTACTTGAGCATCCTGGTTCAAGCACTCTCCTAGAAGGCAGCAGTTGTGGATTTGAGCTGCCTCAGACAGAGGAAGCTCTAGAAGTTATGTCTCCTGTCTCCTTCTCTGAGCTCCTGTACATGACAGATATCATGTCATCCCCCTCCTTTAGAAAGAGGGAACCATGTTCTCTTCTCTGCTAGAACAGTTAGGAGCTCCTGTCTTCTGGAAAGGACTTGGGTCTCCAGATCCTCAGAGGGTCCTTCAACCCTTCAGAGAAGCGCTGCACCTGTGAGCTTAGCCTGTCTCAGGGGTGAATTCTAGTGTTGAGTTCCCCAACAGCAGCTAGCTGGTGCATAAACTAGGGAGGGTAGGCTCTGGACTGGTTTTTAGATTCCATCCTGCAAGTCATGGGAGCAAATAATTTACAGAAATCTTAGTGATTTCTCAGAAGTCTTTTTGATTTTTATTTGGAAGATTACTTTGTTTTCAAATTAAGCTAATATTGCTAAAAGCAAGCACAAAAAGATGCTTAAAATCCATCGTGATTACAGGAAGCCTGATAAAATGACCGAAAAAAATGTATTACAAACATGACAGAAAAATTCCTCCCAAGCTTTATATGATGGATTTGTTCTCCCTTTTTAGAGCAAAATGAATTCATCACAGAGGAGAAATCTCTAGCATTCAAGCAGCTTCCACATCCCATTACTTAGTCTAGGCAGGAACTGCCTGAAAAGTTGGGTCATGATAATGGATCTAGCTTGTGTCTCACAGGGTAAGGGAGAACTGTTTTGAACTGATATGAATTAGAATGCAGGTCTACAAAATATCTTGTAAGTGGACAGGCAAGTTCAAGTGTGTGATCCTTGAAACTGCCCTAGTGTAGAAACCTCCATGGTTGGCGCTGTACCTCTGCACATGACCAGAATTGCTGACATGTCAGCAGTTTGCAGTAACTTAGTGCCTACTTCATGCTTGCATCCGTTAATGAAACCTCGGAAGTTCCTTTCTGTGAAGTTCCCTGCGGTTCTCAGTCTGATACATGATCAGACCATGCTTAGCCTCTGCTGCTGGGGTTGGGGGGG